AGCCTTGTTCACATTAAAATGGCCCATCAAAGCAGGCTTATGTCTGTTTTAAAATGGGGCTGAGACAGTATGGTTGAGAGCTGGGCTGGTTGGTGAGACATCATTTAACCATATGGTGTAGTAGCGCAATTTTCACGGGGACGAAGAGGACAAGAACACACGACACTCGCTACACTCGCAACTAATTTTATTTCAGGAGCAGCACTTCATATATAACCCATAACCCTAGCGACACAGAAAAGAACTACGAACATTGAATCATTGCCAACAGAAGCTTTTGCGCAGACTCAAGCGATAGTACACGGCAGTTACGCTTACACTTTAGGATGACATAACTAAAACAGCCCTGGGTAACATCAAATAAAAAAAACCAAAAACTTTTGCGGGAATTCACACGTGTTTGAAACAAAATTTTGAAACGACAAAAAGGAGAGTATGACACATGCAAACACTGATCTCAATTAAGTCCTTCGAGGTAGCTGGCTTCTCGGTCACTTAACGAAACCGATGACTGACTAATACATCCTTCTTTTCTTTTTTTAATGTGGAAGGCTTCGACAATTTCTCTGGTTAGTTGGTTTCCATGACGGAAGACTACGGTTGTGTCACTGAACAGTGGTGAGCAGCCACACTGGGAACAGTGTCTCTTTATGTGAGAATGAATGTCAGTTCTTAATGATCGCTTGTGTTCTAAAAGTCGGGTGTTCAAACATCGACCCGTCTGGCCGATGTATACCTTTCCACACGTTAGCGGCAAGCAATACACGACTGATTGGCTACACTTAACAAACTTTGTTGTGTGATTTACCGTACAACTACCAGCATTAGTGTTTACTGCTATGGAAACTTTACGGTCTAGTTTGGAACATATTTTACTAAGCTTGTTGGGTGCCGAAAAAACTAGTTCTAGGCCATAGCGATTACCTACGTTTTTTAAGTTATGGGCAATCTTGTGCGCATATGGAACTGACACTATGTTCTTCCTGTTTTCATTACTTGTCATTTTTTATGAAAGTTGTTGCGTACGTGACTAATCAGCTTGTTAGCCGATCTACACAACACGTGTTTTTCGTACCCAGCATTTTTTAGCCTGATAATTTGTTGGTTGAAGCTTTCGCTAATCTTTTCTGGACATGACTTTGTTAAGGCTGCTCTCAAACATGAAAAGGCTATGCCACTCTTTACAACTTTAGAATGTGCTGATCGGTAGCTAAGTAAGGGTTTTTCCGTTCGCGGATTGTATGACCAGCATACATGTTCTGCTGTGGCATCTAACTCAATATCCAAAAACTGCAGTTTGTGATTGACTGGTAATTCATGAGTAAATTCAAGCCCTCTACTATTTTTCTTGAAGACTTTCAAAACTTCTGCGACCATTTTATCCCGACCATCCGATTAAAAAAAAACCAAAAAGTCATCTACAAACCGAAACACTTTGAGTGCAAGCCCTTTAAGGTTTAAATCTATTGCCTTGTCCATTTTTGCTAAATAAATTGTGCTTAAAACCGGGGCTACTTTCGAGCCTATTGTGATACCGGATTTTTGTCGGTACATAGCCTTGTTCCACATAACAAATGTCGACCTAAGGTAAAAGGTTAACAATTCAAGAAAGGCATCCACCGATACACCACACTTATTCACAAACTCTAACTCATCGTTTTCTTCTGTTATACATTGCTTTACACTTGACAATAGCGGACCATGCGGGATGTTGTAATACATATCTTGTATGTCTACGCTGAAGAAATAGCATTTTCCTGGGTTATGTGTGCTTAAATACGAAACTAACGCCTCAGAGTTTGGCAGACTGAAAGGATCCGATACATTCAATGTCTTGAGGTGACACTGAAGATACGAAGACAAGCATAGTTGCCACGAGTCCCTTTCGGATACAATGGCTCTGAATGGAACATCAATTTTATGAGTCTTTGCCGCAAAAAACAACTCAAGATGTAAGCTACCTGCGCTTTTTACTGCTGATGCAAGCCGTTCCAATTTACTGTTCTCTAGTAAAGTGAGAGCCATTTGCTTAACTTTGTTTGCCTTTACGTCTACACGGACAAAATTTTTTTCTATGGCTGCCAACGCCTTATCTTGAGAGAGACCTTCCGGTATGACAACCAAACAACCTTCCTTATCTGACGTAAGAAAACGCAAGCTGTTTTCTACACCAAAGCTGTTTTCTAAACCAAAAAAGACACAACCTTCAGAAGGAAAAGTGATCGTTCTGGGGGACGTTTCAGTTCCCGAAGAGTACAAAAAGATTCTTGGACTGGGTTCGAAGTTCTGTTTCGAACCGTCGCTCTCTCCACCGGAAAAAGTGACACTGGTCAAGACCATGGCGCGTCGTGTGTCGGAGGAGGATCGTCCAAGATTTATCACCGAGTGCGTCGATCTGCTTTCCAGGACAATAACCAGTGACAGAAAACAACATCACGTAAGGAATTTAGTGAACTTTGGTGTAGAAAACAGCTTGCGTTTTCTTACGTCAGATAAGGAAGGTTGTTTGGTTGTCATACCGGAAGGTCTCTTTCAAGATAAGGCGTTGGCAGCCGTAGAAAAAAATTTTGTCCGTGTAGACGTAAAGGCAAACAAGGTAAAGCAAATGGCTCTCACTTTACTAGAGAACAGTAAATTGGAACGGCTTGCATCAGCAGTAAAAAGCGCAGGTAGCTTACATCTTGAGTTGTTTTTTGCGGCAAAGACTCATAAAATTGATGTTCCATTCAGAGCCATTGTATCCGAAAGGGACTCGTGGCAACTGAGCTTGTCTTCGTATCTTCAGTGTCACCTTAAGACATTGAATGTATCGGATCCTTTCAGTCTGCCAAACTCTGAGGCGTTAGTTTCGTATTTAAGCACACATAACCCAGGAAAATGCTATTTCTTCAGCGTAGACATACAAGATATGTATTACAACATCCCGCATGGTCCGCTATTGTCAAGTGTAAAGCAATGTATAACAGAAGAAAACGATGAGTTAGAGTTTGTGAATAAGTGTGGTGTATCGGTGGATGCCTTTCTTGAATTGTTAACCTTTTACCTTAGGTCGACATTTGTTATGTGGAACAAGGCTATGTACCGACAAAAATCCGGTATCACAATAGGCTCGAAAGTAGCCCCGGTTTTAAGCACAATTTATTTAGCAAAAATGGACAAGGCAATAGATTTAAACCTTAAAGGGCTTGCACTCAAAGTGTTTCGGTTTGTAGATGACTTTTTGGTTTTTTTTAATCGGATGGTCGGGATAAAATGGTCGCAGAAGTTTTGAAAGTCTTCAAGAAAAATAGTAGAGGGCTTGAATTTACTCATGAATTACCAGTCAATCACAAACTGCAGTTTTTGGATATTGAGTTAGATGCCACAGCAGAACATGTATGCTGGTCATACAATCCGCGAACGGAAAAAACCCTTACTTAGCTACCGATCAGCACATTCTAAAGTTGTAAAGAGTGGCATAGCCTTTTCATGTTTGAGAGCAGCCTTAACAAAGTCATGTCCAGAAAAGATTAGCGAAAGCTTCAACCAACAAATTATCAGGCTAAAAAATGCTGGGTACGAAAAACACGTGTTGTGTAGATCGGCTAACAAGCTGATTAGTCACGTACGCAACAACTTTCATAAAAAAATGACAAGTAATGAAAACAGGAAGAACATAGTGTCAGTTCCATATGCGCACAAGATTGCCCATAACTTAAAAAACGTAGGTAATCGCTATGGCCTAGAACTAGTTTTTTCGGCACCCAACAAGCTTAGTAAAATATGTTCCAAACTAGACCGTAAAGTTTCCATAGCAGTAAACACTAATGCTGGTAGTTGTACGGTAAATCACACAACAAAGTTTGTTAAGTGTAGCCAATCAGTCGTGTATTGCTTGCCGCTAACGTGTGGAAAGGTATACATCGGCCAGACGGGTCGATGTTTGAACACCCGACTTTTAGAACACAAGCGATCATTAAGAACTGACATTCATTCTCACATAAAGAGACACTGTTCCCAGTGTGCCTGCTCACCACTGTTCAGTGACACAACCGTAGTCTTCAGTCATGGAAACCAACTAACCAGAGAAATTGTCGAAGCCTTCCACATTAAAAAAAGAAAAGAAGGATGCATTAGTCAGTCATCGGTTTCGTTAAGTGACCGAGAAGCCAGCTACCTTGAAGGACTTAATTGAGATCAGTGTTTGCATGTGTCATACTCTCCTTTTTGTCGTTTCAAAATTTTGTTCAAACACGTGTGAATTCCCGCAAAAGTTTTTGGTTTTTTTTATTTGATGTTACCCAGGGCTGTTTTAGTTATGTCATCCTAAAGTGTAAGCGTAACTGCCGTGTACTATCGCTTGAGTCTGCGCAAAAGCTTCTGTTGGCAATGATTCAATGTTCGTAGTTCTTTTCTGTGTCGCTTGGGTTATGGGTTATATATGAAGTGCTGCTTCTGAAATAAAATTAGTTGCGAGTGTAGCGAGTGTCGTGTGTTTTTGTCCTCTTCGTCCCCGTGAAAATTGCGCTACTACACCATATGGTTAAATGGGGCTGAGACACTTGGCATACACTGATTGCAGATTACCGTCTTTTGTGTTTTTTTTCTAGTAGGCTAGTCGTTTTCAATACCACGGGTACGTTTGTGAGCATATGCTTGCTTACTTGGAAGCACCCCATGAGCTTGGCAGGCATTGTTCGTTTAGTTGAAACTGAGATATCTGGATTTGGCTATTATTGTCAGTCAAGCACTCAACAGAACTCGACCTAACTTTATTGGCCTTTCACTTGTACTGTGGGATGAGCTGGTGCAGCACTTTTTTGAAATGTTTAAGGGCTAGCTGACATGTTTTCTTGTTACCTTGTCATCCCTTCCTGTCTAGCTCAAAGTTAAACAAGTTATGTTGCTGTAAATTTTGTCTTGCCTGTGTTGTGTACAGTATGCTGCCCTTTGTCTTGTTTTGTAAGTGCAATCTAATGCTTGAATGAATTCAGGAGATGAACTTGTGATTTTCTGTGCAGGTGACAAAATCACGGTATGGTTCGGTGTATCCATGGCCCCTCAACCACATTCTGTCCTTCCGAAAGAAAAAACAGATTCTGGCCAAACTCTCTGTTTGTGAGTGGAGTGAAAAGTCATTAGAAGAGGTGCGTATTACTTGTTAGTCACTAGCATGGGTGATGTTGCCATCCGTCCTAGGTGCAGACATTGCCCATTTGATTGCCAACAGCAGCAGACACAATTCTAGGAGGTTGAAATACGGTGATATCAATGTACAATTGCCAACCGATCCGATTTTTCGAACCCTCAAGGGGCCGGAAAAGCGTCGCAAAAAAATAAATTCAGGAAAAAGAGATCACTATTTACAGCTAAAGTGGTTGCTTGGATGTGTTGGTACGACATAGTTGAAAAAACACAGTGTTAAAAACAAGAGACCATACAAAGAAGTACACATACAGAATGCTGACTTACAACAAAAACTTCATTCTTCGAACCACGCATATATACCTATGCAGTGGAACAAAAAAAGAAACAAAAGTGATAGTTGAAGAAAAACCATGAAGTTATTCCCATAGCTCATACAGTACGCCAGACAAAAAGACAACTTCCTTTTTTGAGAGGGCAACCAAAGGCCTACTCACGCATGAGTCTCCCAGTCTAGCAATCTCCAAGGCCTCCAGTATTTCACGGGTAAGCTGGTCCCGATGATGCTTGATAACCGTGCATGACTGAAAATCAGCGTTACACCCACAATCTCAGCTATGAATGCTTAGGTGCCCAGACACCGCTGAGGAAACACTGTAAGCGTGTTCCTTGAGACACTCATTCAGACATTGCCCAGTTTGTCCTACGTATAGTTTACCACTAGACGTATGGAATACACCATGTCATGAATTCATGGAATAAACCTATTCTGATGCTTAGTTCGGCAGGTGGCGGTCTCTTTAGCTCCTGGGTTGATGTCCCTACACATGCTAACCAGCTTCTCCGGGGCAGAAAATAACCTCGACGTAACATCTGCCGGCTATTCTCTTTAGGTTGTCGGTCACGTCGTGAGCAACAGCAGAATGCGCTGCTCACACTCTGCGAGGAGCTACATGGCAACATCGTCGTCATGGGTGCCAAGGAAACTACGCAGGATGTCCAAGGAGTCCTTGACGTGCGACATGGTCATTGGTGTCAGAACCGCCAAAACACCATGCGCGGCTTCGTCATATTTCGAAGCATTGGCGGTGGTGTTAGCCGCACGAGCTCTAGAGGATGTTGGCATCACTCGGATTTTCGTATACGATCGCGTTCGCGTCGGCATTAACGTAATCGCTTAGGGCAACGTTCTCGGGTAAACTGACGGCATCCTCGAGAGTTGCCCATGCTGCGGCACAGGGGTAGCCATATTGTTACGCAGAAGAAGAACCAGGACGTATACGGCTGAAGGGGCCGTTTATTTTGGTCGCGAAGAAAAGCGCCGAAGGGGCCAACAGGTTGACGATTGCAGTGTCATCGTCTTCCTTCTTTTTCCACCTTGGGGCAGCCAGCATGTTCACCCATCTTCGTTTTCTTCCCAGGCATGCGCAACAATAAATTGCGGAGAACAGCAATACAATCATAACAGATACACATCAAACACTGCGGGCTCGGCAGCTGTACCAACATTTAGTTACTGGTTTTTTTGGAGTATAATTGATACGATGGACCAACGGATTAGTGGGTGCTAATGTGGCACAGCCACTAAGCCCACAGGGCGGTGCAGATCCATGCGGCTGCTTTATAGGCGACACTGTGAAGGTTGTCGTTGGCGATGGGGCCAGCCAAGGTAGATTGATGACCAGCGGGTGTGGGTGCGGTTGTGCGAAGACTGTTGATATGTTGCTTCTTGGCAGCTCCCACAGATACGTGGCGCGAGCACCACCGGTGCAGAGATTTGGTGGATGAGACGGTACCCTGCAGATGAAACAGCATCCAGGTCAGGAACAAGCACTAGCAGGAGGGCAGCTCGGATGGAAGCCTGCATGGCGAAGCGGAGCAGATTAGTGGGAGCTAATGTAGCACAGCCACCAAGCCCACCTTGCTTTGAAGTCAAGCGTCCTTGCTGGCAGCATTTCGTAGAAAAGCTCAGTTTTGTATGCATTGTACACGTTGGACACATAGTTCTTCTGAATGATGTCAGCAGAGTTATGCGTGATCCACGATAATGCGCCGTCGTAGTCTGCAGAAGCTGTCTCTCCACACAGCACCTTCCTGACGATTTCATGGCACTTCTAAAATAGGTTGAGCCACCCGGCACTTGCCTGGAAGTTTTCGTTGATGCCCAAAATGCAATCATAGTTCGAGGCTTTCTGCTGAATCAGGCTACTGCTGATCGGTATCTTCTTGATCCTCGTTTTTCAAAACCAGGCATACACTGCCTTGTCAAATTCTTCATGGGCTGGCTGGGTCGTCTTCTTTCGTTAGACAGATGTGCCCGACACTATCACATTTAGGATGCTTGCTTCGAACTTTAGTATAGTCGACAGTGAACTCGGCGAGATACCTTATCCCTCGACGATGCATTTCTTTTTTCGTCCTACTCTGACAGGCTCTGCCTATTTAGAGAGTTCAAGTTGTCTGTCTTCGATGTCGGCACATACGAAATGGTGTACGACCGCATGCTACTCGCCTTTGTCTGTGCTTGCCGGTCGTAGAAATAGGCATAAATACTCGAAAGAACATACTGTCCGTGGAGGTCACTACGAAGGCTTTATTGGACACGCTGAAAGCGATTGTTCGATTAGGAAACATTCCGGTTCGCGCATTCTCCGCGTATGACGAAGAAATGACAACAGGAGTTATATACGATGTGGATGAAAAGATAACAGACTCGAGTCTCGAGAAACTGCTGTCATCGTCGGCTCCCGTGCTTGGTTTCCACCGCTTTGGACGCACGCGATGTGTTAAAGTAGTGTTTCAATCGAAGACGTTACCCACACATGTAAAAGTTAGGTATGTGAGGCACTCTGTACGTCCTTACGTACCAAAACCTCTGCAATGTCATTAATGCATGAAATTCGGGCACGTTAGTGCAGTTTGCAATGGTGCAGTAACCTGCAAGCATTGCGGTGGCCTTCATGATGGTGATAACTGCAATGCTGTGGCCAAATGCCCAAACTGCTCAGGTGCCCACGACGCAACATCAAAGGAATGTCCCAAAATGAGGAATGAAATTAGTATCCTGAAGAAGATCGTTCGAGACCACTCCACTTACAGAGAAGCTGCAAGGGCTGTACGGCGCCGTAAACATCGTTCGCGACACCGATGCAAACGAAGCAGCAGTGCTCATAGCTTAACGAATTCGACACACAAAACCGTGCCCTCACCATCTAATAGCCTACTTTTGTCGGCCAGAAAGGAGGATACAGATGCTCAAATGCCAATACAGTCCACGCAAGTACAATGTAACTAGTCATTGGCTCTCCCCCCGTCGGAGACTCAGTGGCCTTCACTACCGTCAAGAGCTACGATAGTGCCATCATCACATAGTGCCCCTACTCCCAACGAAGAAAACAAGAAGATGGACAACGCAGATGTCAAGGCTATGCTTAAAAATTTGATGGGTTCGATGCGCAAGATTCTCAGCAGCCTAAACACTCCCGCTGCTAAGGTGGCTGTGCAGCTACTTGAGGTTTTGGAGCCTCTTCTACTGGTTCTTCAGTAAGTGAACATGGCACTGATATTCGAAGAACGCATGCGCCAGTCGCTTTTTATGCAATGGAACGCTCGTGGCCTACGCGGCCGTCTGTCAGACTTCAGACAATGGGTTTTTAAATATCAATTTCCTGTTATCGTTATATGTGAACCGAATATGGTTTCAACTTTTCGTATATCTGGATATATCCAGATTTGGTCCCGCAGTGATCAACGTACGAGCAAAGTTCTCGTTTGTATACGCCGTGATTTGACGTTCTTGAGACATGAAGTCGCGTCGCATACCAACAATGATTACGTGAGCCTGACTATAACACATAAAAAGCGGACATTCTCAGTAATAGGAGGATACATACACCCAAGCGCACAGATGGACTGCTTCCACCTGGGGACCATTCTCCAAGCAGCACAAAGGCCACACATTGTGATCGGCGATTTTAATGCACATCATCCTCTCTGGGGTAGCACTACACCGAATTATCGCGGATGGGATTTGGCCAATTTTATATGCAACTATGGACTAAGCGTACTCAACGACAGATCACCTACATTTGCCCCGCCGTGGTGGTCTAGTGGCTAAGGTACTCGGCTGCTGACCCGCAGGGCGCGGGTTCGAATCCCGGCTGCGGCGGCTGCATTTCCGATGGAGGCGGAAATGTTGTAGGCCCGTGTGCTCAGATTTGGGTGCACGTTAAAGAACCCCAGGTGGTCTAAATTTCCGGAGCCCTCCACTACGGCGTCTCTCATAATCATATAGTGGTTTTGGGACGTTAAACCCCACATATCAATCAATCAATCATCAATCAGATTACCTACATTTGTTCGTGGCACGTTCTACAGCAGCTGCCTCGACCTCTGTTTCGTTTCCAGAAGCCTCCTGTCTTCCGCATGTTGGTGCACAGATTTGGACACTCGCGGCAGTGACCACCTTCCAACCTATGTTCAGTTCAGGTGGTTTCGCCACACGCACACACGCTACATCCGTCAAACCGACTGGACACTGTTCAAGGCATCTGCCAAGTCTGGCTGTGAGCACACGACTGATCCATCCGAGGTAGAGAACGTCATTGCTTCTTCACTGCATGACACAACCAAACAGGTTAACCTACCGATGCAGAGATCAGCAGTTGACTCCCAATACGAGGCCCTTCGTGCAATCCGTCGCCGTGCCGAACGCCGATACAGACAAACGAAGTCGGCTTCAGACCTTTCCGCCTGTCGTCGAGCTCAACGACATGTTCTTCGGCATCTTGACAAGATTGACAGGCAACGTTGGAGAAATTTCTGTGGATCTCAGGACCCCAGGCAACCTCTATCTAAGATCTGGCGGGTGGTACGAAGTTTTCAGACAACTCCCCAACAACGTCAACCATTTCAAGCTGTTGCTCTACATCAGGGACGGACAGAAGTTGAGATAGCCAGTGAATACTGTAGCCTCACCGTGGACACCACTGATGGTCTTGCC